CTGATTTTTAGTGTGTATTTCCCAGTTCAAATTCCACACATATGGAAAAAGAAGTCATTAATCTCATTGGCATGGCTAAGGGGACACAGTTTTCCTCCCAGGGCATTTCCTGCAGTGCTGGCCAGCTCATGGACTGGCTGATCAAATAACAACTAGGGCTGCCTCCATCCACAGGGGCTTGGACGAGATACTTTCCAGGAGCGAGGTCAGCGGCTGTGGCAGGCACTGCATCTTCAAGAAGCAAGAATATGTTTTCCCTATGTCTTATAGCCTGGGTAAAAATTATCCAGAGCATTGGTGAGATGAAAACAGAGCAGATGGATATTTTCTTGTAATTTTCTTCTACCTTATATTTTCTTTTACATACTGCCCCTTTTTTCCACCCTACATTTTAAGCCTTTTCTCAGCTTTCATCACAACCCAAGCTCAAGCTCAAGGGACACATTTTCACTCTCCTAATTGCAGTATGTACCTTCCTAAACCATTTATTCATTTACTCAACTGTTTACTCAATATTCATCAAGTACCTGCTTTGTAACAGGTAAAAGACTGGACAATGAGGATACAAAATTCATTCATTTACTCAATAAATATTCATTGACTACTTACTAGGTGCCAGACATTGCTTGTTACTGAGAATACAAAGATAACTAAGACATAGTCCCTGCCTGATATATGGTAAATACTCAATAAATATTTGTTAAATCAATGAATGTCTTAAAGGAACTCATAGCCTAGTGGGAGAGACAACTCAGTATTTAAGCAATTACAAGATGGCGTGAAAAGAGCTATCCTGGGGAAGGTCCATGGGAAGAGAAGCCTTGAGAAATCAAAACAGTATTTCTGCAGACACTAATCTCTGTCCTGAGACCTGGAGGGTGAGTTGAGTTAGCCAACTGAAAGGAATTAGATGATGGAAGGGACATGTAAAGGCTTGGAGATATGGGAGAGAATGAACATCGGAGGGGCTGAAAGAGGGAAGAGAGAGTAAATAAATAAGTACAATTATGATTTTAGGGACTAAGATGGAAGTCTGTACATAATAGAGTACGGGGAATCAATTTAAACACATGGCCAAATTGAGCTTTTTGAGTTCCCCTAATACCTTGTTGTACACATCTGGTTGACTAAGGAGATTGAAGATGGTCTGGAAATGGCACCCACTGCTCCAGCTCATTTTTCATTGGCAAGAACTAGTTGTTGGGGTTCTCAATTGCAAGACAGGTTGGGAGAGATAGTCTAAGTGTTCCCAGGAAGAATAGGAAACAGATTTTTGGTGGCAGCAAGAAAAATTTCTAGGGAGTGGGCAAATCAAGAGTTGTGCAGGCTTCCCTGATCCTAGTTTATCCAAAGCACCTCACAGTGGCTGCCAGGGAGGTCAGTGGGAAGGTAGGCTCTTTGAGATCTGGGAAAGCCTCTAGGGCTCAGGGCAGCACAGGTCAGTCCAAGGTACTTCAGGAAATGCTGTGAAATGCAAGATCTTTTTCCTTAAAGTGAAATTATATGTCCAGCCTGTAGAAAGTTAGCTTGACACAGATTCATGGGTGCTAACATAAGACATGAGATGCTTGGGTCAGAGGCAAAAGACTTTGTAACTCACAGAAATAGCAGTAGCCAGAATATCAGCACTTTCTTTCTCCATTTCCCCAAGCCCAGGGTGACACAAACGGTGAGAGGTGATACCTGTACAGGAGAGGAATCCCAATCTTAGGAAATGTGGATCTTTTATAATGGCCAGTAAGCATACCTGACCTTTGCTCTGGGGGGAAGACACTATGTCTGTCTTTCAAGGCTGTAAGCAATTTGCCTTATGCCTTGAAGAGAGACACCATCTCTATCTTCAAAGGCTGTTTACAAACATCCTTGAAAAGATAGTCTGGAATTAAAGCTGCCAGTGCCTCTACTTGCAAGATGTGCAGAAATGTGAGAGGCCCTTGGAGAATTGTATGCCAACAAAGATAGGTTTCTATTTAGCAAGAAGTATTTAGATAGGAGCCCTAGTGGCACAGTCGTTAAGTGCTTGGCTGCTAACCGAAAGGTTGTTGGTTGGAACCCACCAGCCACTCCATGGGAGAAAGATGTGACAGTCTATATAGATTACAGCCTTGGAAGCCCCAGGGGGCAGTTCTAGTCTGTCCTGTAAGGTTGCTACAAGTCAGAAATGATTCTACAGCAATGAGTTTTCTTTTTCTTTTCGGTATTCCTTAACTTCCTTTACTGAATCCTTCTCTTCTTGACCTCTAGACATTGGCATGCCCCGGGACTCAGTCCTCAGAGCTCTTCCCTATCTATACTCACTACCTCATATCTTTAAATAGCATATCCATGCCAATTGTCCCAAATTTATAGTTTACACTTCAATACCACTGTCATCTCCAGACTCATATGTTAACTATCTACGTGGTAGCTTCACTTGGTCTTCCTCTAGGCACCTCAAACAATATATTCTTGATTTCAATCCTCCACGTGAAATCTGCTCCTTCCCCAGTGTAACCTACTTCAGTAATAAATATTATTCAGATTCTCAGTCCAAAAACCTCTTTACTTCATATTCACATCCAAGTCATTAGCACATTCTGCTTTCAAAATATATCCTGAATTTGACCGCCTATATCACCTACATTCTACATCATCAACATCCTAGCCCAAATCACCATTCTCTGTCCTAGACTACAGCAGTGAATTCCTAATTTGTCTTGTCCCATAAACTCTAACCTCCACAGCAGCCAGAGAGATCCTTTTAAAATGTAAGTTAAATAATATGACCCCCTGCTTTCAACCTTCCAATGACATACTAGCACGTTTATAATAAAAGTCAAGGTCAAGACTATCTACGACCTGACCTCTGCCTCCAAACCTTACCTCTTTTTCCACCATCCCTCTCCTCCCTTCCTGCACTCCAGTCCTTGACACTGTCTAGCAGAGAGCTGCCTCAGGGCCTTTGCACTTGGCTTTATTGCCCAAGGCATCTAGGGCTCTATCAGATGTCAGTTACCATATTTTTTCACAAATAACGCACTGAAGTAAATAACATGCCCACACGTATAACACACGTAGTGCACCTAGGAAAATAATGTACAAAGGGGTTGTGTCGTTGGCAAAAAATGTATAATGCATGCATTATTTGCATAAAAATACTGTAATCAAGGAGATCTTCCCTGACTACCTTGAATAAAATAACACACTCTCCCCCCACATTCTCTTTCCTTTTAACCAGCTTTATCATTTTTCATAGCTCCTATCACTACCTGATTTTAATTTAGAATCTATCTAACCCCACCGTTGGCCAGCCTAGAATATACCTACTCCTCACTTATCGACATGGTTAGGTTCCAGAGACCAGATTGTTATGTGAAAATTGGCATTACGTGAAAATGAAGAATGGCCAGATCAGATCACCAAATGGAGGATGACTACATTATTACATAACTGCCAAACCACTGAGAATCATGGCCCAGCCAAGCTGACACATAACCTTAACCATCACAGCAAGCGTTACTCTTGCCTCCCACCTTGGTGCTCATTACAGTCAGTTGTATGTCGTTAATGAGCAAAATAGTAGGATAGTAGATCTTTTACTGTTGTCGTAAATGAGAAATGTCGGATAACGAGACAGTCGATAAATGAGGAGTAGGTGTATATGTTGCATGGGTCAATAACTTGGTTTTGTTTATTGACATATCCTTTGCTTCTACTTGGCACAAAGTAGATGCTCAATAAGTATTTGTTGAATGAATGAATGAACGAATGAATGAATGGCAGCTAATACTGGATATAAGAATGGAGGCAATATTAGGGACATGGATAAAGTTTACCCTGATATTCTTCAAGCTAAGCCACCTGAGTTTATATAACCATATTTTTTTCCCAAAAGGCATATTTTCTAACTCTTTAATAATTCTGGTTTCTGTCTTCAGGATTCTCGCCATATTCTTGTATAAGATGGAGTTCAAAATTGAACATAGCCTTCTGAGAGGAACCTGAGCTGTCCATAATTAGTTTTCCTTTCTTCATAGGTTTCATATATGCTTGCCTAAGAATATACTTTGAAAGATAACTTCCCGAGACATAAGCCCAGTCACAAAGAAGCCTGTCTAAGGTCAGATAGTTTGGCGAGTGACAAAGTGAGTATTTGAGTCTTTCTTGTTTACAATTTCTACAAATCCCAAAACACTTGCCTGAATATGTTGAGAAAAAAAATACAATCAGCCTCATGAATTTAGCCATAAATTATATATATGAAATGTAATGAAATAGAGACAATTCATTCACAAATAAATACTTCCAGTGTGTCAAGTGGTGAGCTAGAACCTGGGGCTGAATGCAAGATGGAGAACATAGCTGCTAACCTGAGGGATTCAGGATCTTGGGCACCATTGTTTCTATTCCATTCCTGTTGTTTTGAGACTAGCTTGTAAATTTGACTTTGATCTAGTTTAATTTTTAAATATTTTACATAGTTTACTTATTTCTAATATTACTTTCTTTTTAAAAATTCTGTACTTACAGAAAAACATCTTTCATCCAATTTGAAAAACAAGGGAACACAGTGTTTTGCTTCCCTTGCCTGCCTTCCAATTTGAGTGTAAAATAATGATTTTTATTTTTCAGAGTTCATTTCAATTCTCTGCAAATAATTTAACTATGGAATACAAAAATCTCAGGTATTTTCATTCCGTTCATTTTTTTAGCTTTCTTGTGTGTTAACTGTGTTTTATTTAAACATCTTTACTGTTTACATTAAATTACAATTATTTTAGAAACAACTTTAGATCATATTTCAATTTCTTTTGACATTTCATTGATCAATATTTCACAAAAGATATTAACTTTCTCTAGGATGCAGAGAGACTCATAGAATTTACACAAAATTTCTCCTGAATGAATTTCCCCACCTCTTGGTGATTGTACACCTGCCTTCCTTATAAGGAGAACAAGGAAGTGAATCATGTTGAAGTTGCTTTTAAACACAGCTTTTCTTCTTTACCTGTCCAGGTAGCCTCTGTTTTCATTTCAGTCTTAATGAAAACTTTTTCGTTTACTTCTCAAGTTTCTTTTCAAAGCAGTGTAAGTAGTATTTAAAATTTTACGCTTCAAGAAAGAAAGACTTTAACGATGTTCAGCTTTGGTCTTGTAATGTTGAACGTAATTCATTTTTTAATCTGTCTGCACAGCGAGAAGTGAAAACGAATGGGGATTGAACTGCTTTGCCTGTTCTTTCTATTTCTAGAAAGGAATGCTCACGTACAAGGTAAGACTGAAGTTCTCTAATATATTATGTTCGTGGTATCCTTGACAAACCTGTCATTTGGCTCAGAAACTAAGTCGGAAGTCATTTTTTATTAGATCTGTTCAATTGCTCTTTTGCTATTGAGTGAACGCTTTTAACAAATTACAGGCAGACACAGGGGGTGTTCCCACAATGAATGCTCTAGGCTTAAGGTAAATAAATACAAAGGTTGCATAGAGATTTTAATGAGGAGAATTAAAGGGCATTACTACATAATAGGATTTCTTACTAACATTGTGACAACCATTTTGGAAACTTTTCTAACTCTTTTATTGTCCGACAAGGACATCCACTTAAAAGTAATAAATAACCTTGAGAGAGAAAAAGGATTTTATTTTAAACATAGACTACATTTAAGAGAGAAGCATTTTTGATGAGTGCAAATAATTTTTAAAAATTAAAGTGGCAGATATTGAGTAAGGGTAATAAAAATGATGCTTCTACATTTGTGAACATTTTAGCTATTTTCACATTTTGAGAAAAAAGAAATATAATTTTGGCTCATAGAACATACATACTTTCAGTGTAATGATGTAAACTATAAGCTTTTATATGAATTTGCTAACTTATTGTCACTGATCTTTGAAGGCTAAAATAAACTTTAATATTGTTTTGTTTAAGTGTTTTAAGAGCCATATGTCTCGTAAATGGAATAACTGTATGTACACCTAATCCCCTGCATCTTGCTGGGTTTAAACATAGGTGGGTGTGCTCTCGGAGGTGCAGAGACCTGTGAAGACTGCTTGCTCATTGGACCTCAGTGTGCCTGGTGTTCTCAGGAGGTAAAACAAATGAGCTCAATCAGATTTTTAAAAATGTTTGCAGTTATATTCATGTTAATTCCATCAGCGATAGCTCTGCTAGTTCCTGACTTCTGTGGGGTTGCATGAGTAAAACCAGTCAGAAAAGGAAAATGTAAGCATCTGTAGATCAAGGAGTCATTTGTGTGATTACTTTAAAAAGCAATTTGCAAAGGAAGTAGATGTCAAATAGTCTGAACAATATTCAACTCAGGATCTTTTCTTCTACTTGACTCCTTACTATCATTTTAAAGCCATTTCTAACTGGTTACGTGTAAAATGTCGAGGCTCTCTGGATAATCAGAAATCACAGAGGTGACATTTTCTAAAGTTAAACATACATTTGAGTACAATACGATAATTGTTTTCCATCTGAGAACAAGTGTTCATTCTGAACCACTGCTAGGTTCTAAGACAAGTTTAGGACAAGTGTCCTAAGTTTGAGTAAACATTACTGTTTAGACATTATTGAATTCTTTTAACAACTGTATTTTCATGAGCTCAGTGACTCATTGCCACAGCTGTGACAAAGCCCCAAACATACATTCCTTATCTAGTCAAACCGAAAGTGAAGTGCAAGTAGTATGAGGATGATTGGGGAACCTAAAACAAGTCATCCTAAATGCTTCCTGTCCTGTTGACACTATAGAGCAATCTGGAAATGATTCATGGTAAGAGAGAGTTGCCTTAGCTTTCTGGATTTAAAACAATTCTCTACTGACTGAATCTCAAAAAGAGAATCTAAACACAAATCAAACCATATAAATAACAAATTCAGCAACACCTGAGTAGCATAGCTCAAAGGGGAGCAAACCCGGATGCCCAAATCAGGAACTGGCTGTCACTGTTGAAAACTCAATTCCAAGTTTAATGTGTATTCACGGAGGAAGGCCTCACAGACACATGTGGCGCTCACTCCCACACTGTTGCCTTGACCAATGGGACGCAAACAAAAGTGCTAAGGAATCACGCTTTTCCAAGCTCATGTATCGAAAGCAGGTTGAGAATACACACACAAGGAGAATAAAATTCACATGTTTCTTGGATCTTAACTCCCTGAGGAAGACAGTGTTAATTTTATGCCAGAGATGTAAATTAACAAATCAATCTAGCAAAATACCTGCTTCTAGAATTTTCATTTAAATGCTTTTTTAGCATTATTTTAAGAGAGTTTCTTGAATCAGCTCTACTTGTGGATGATACTTGGTAGCTGAATTATCAAATTCTACGGCCAGATTATTCTAAGACTCCACTCTAATAATAGAAGTAGTTATCAGTATATCAGTTGAGGCAGTTAAAGTAAACAAAAAATAAATTAGGCTTCTGCTTACAGCAGATATAAAATGAATTCTATAGTGAACACCACCTCTGATCTTTTGGAAAAAGCTGTGACTACAGTTGGTAGTAGTGACACTGTGTTGGGAAGGATTCTGAGACCTTGTCCAGCTCAGTGAGAGAGAATGTGGTTACCATTGCCCCTGTTTGCCTTGGCTACATCGTGGGAGTTTACAGAGTTTGCTATGCCTGGCCTGTTGTTGTCAGGTGCCGTCCAGTTGGCTCCAACTCATAGTGACCCTATGTACAAAAGAATGAAACACTGCCCAGTCCTACCCCATCCTCACAATCATTGCTATGTTTGAGCCCGTTGTTATACCCATTGTGTCAGTCCATCTCATTAGGGGTCTTTCTCTCTTTCACTGACCCTCTACTTTACCAAGCATGATGTCCTTCTCCAGGGACTTGTCCCTCCTGATACCATGTCCAAAGTACATGAGACAAAGTCTAGCCATCCTCTCTTCAAGGAGCACTCTGCCTGTACTTCTTGCAAGACAGACTTATTCGTTCTTCTGGCAGTCCATGGTATATTCAATATTCTTTGCCAACACCATAATTCAAAGGTATCAATTCTTCAGTCTTCCTTACTAGAGCCTTAAATATGCACAAGCTTAACTTCAAAATAACAAATTATATCCTCAAAAATTAATTTCACTTCTTAAAACCAAACAACAGTTTAGCTTAACTAGTAAAAAATGTCTGCCTTGAGCATTACTTATGCTCTTTTACGATCTGTCTATCTTGGATCAAACTGACAACAGCAACTGGAAAGATTAGATAGGAATCTTAGGGCACAGTGAGTTTATGTTAATAGGGGAGGAACAACTCAAAAGGAGGGTGAGAATGGTTGCACAACTCAAAGAATGGAATCAATGTCACTGAATTATACCTGTAGAAACTGTTGAATTGGTGTATGTTTTGCTATATATATCCTTAACAACAACACCAAAATAAACAAATTTAAAAATAAATTAATTTCAGAAGAAATGTAATTTTCCTAGTTGGTGAAAACAGCAAGTGTGACTTGGAATTCTAAGGGACAAGAAAAAGCAACACAAGCATTCGTTAGCTTCCTCTCCAACTATGAGAGTCAATAGGCCTCCAATTCAACTTTGCCTAGAGCCTTGTCAGCTCTAGAGCAGCTGTGGCTACCAGGTAAGACAGGTATTTCTCCCTCAGTTCCCCTCTCTGTTCTGGGCATTGCAGGGTTTACAGGCTTCGTTTGGTCTGGCCTTCCTTGGCCCAGAAGAGCTGCATCTCACTGCCCTCTGCTGCCCAGGAGGATCTGAGCGGGCCTGAGAAAATCCTGGTTACTACACGGAAAGTAGTCTTTTCAACCACCTTCTCTTTTATTTCCCCTCCACGTCTTCAAACCTTGAAGGAAGTTCTAAAACACATCGAACCAAAAACACTTTCAGGCACTGAGTTTAAAGTCCCCAAGAGGTCAACCATAGTGAAGTAATGTTGTAATATAAGGGTAATGCATCAACGAATAAAGACTGGTACAGAGCACCAGGTAGAGAGATGTTACAATCCCTGTCCTTTAGGAACCCACAGAAAAGGCTATCTTTGTCACTGGATTTGGATTGACACACTTTCCTAGAAGTCCATGAACCTAGAGGTTGTCCTGGGTAGATCAATTCACAGATGGTGTCTATTCTACAAATCCAGCTATTTCAAAGTTTTGGTCATGGTACAGGAGAAGCTTTAGAGAAGTGAGCATTAAAAAAAAAACAAAAAACAAAAAAACTGTTAACGTGAGTTCAGTTGGATATAATTAAAGGAAGGCTTTAATTTTACTCAGAAGTCTACCCGCAGAATTCTCTGGTTATTCTGCTATAACTTAACTTTAGACCTACAATCGATGCCAGGCATGTAAGAATATGTTACAGTGAGTATGGCAAGACGCCTAACCAAAAAAAAAGTCCATTTCTGTTATAAAAAATGCAGATTTATCTTTTTTTTTCCTCTCTCTCTCTTTATTGTTCTTTTCGCTTTTAGAATTTTTCCCAACCTTCTGGAGCTGGTGAAAGATGTGATACCCCAGCAAATCTTTTAGCTAAAGGATGTCAATTAACCTTCATCGAAAACCCTGTTTCTCAAGTAGAAATACTTAAGAATAAGCCTCTCAGTGTTGGCAGACAGAAAAATAGTTCCAACATTGTTCAGATTACACCTCAAAGCTTGATTCTTAAATTAAGACCAGGTATGTTATAATTTCTTGATGGCAAGAGGGAACCTCTATTCTTGGTTGGCTCGTAAATAAAAATAATTTCACATATGGTAATATGACTATTCTGCTAATATGTTTTGCACCATATTACATATCAGTAATTATCGAGACTCAAATTTCCCATTCTTAAGGAAATAGAGTTGCTAGGTTAACACTTTTCCGTATTCACATTGATCACTTACACTCTAAATGAGTTACTAAAAAACACTTATCTAGTAGTAACCATTTCAATTACCCAGATGTTGTTAACGGTTACTTCACATTTCTTCAAGGGTTTAACATAGTTTTAAAATCCCCTTTATTTTGTCTTTTTCTAAAACCACACACATGCACACAAAATCCGCTTATCTTCCATCTAAATGGATCTTAGTTCTCCCTAGGAGATACAAAATATCCCACAGTACACTTCCTTCGGTGGCTCTACACTCACTAGTGAAAGATTTTCATGAGCTTGTTCATTTACAAACTACCACATAGTTCATGAAATCGTAACTATCTTCAGTAAGTTATTATCGAAATGAAATAGCCAGGTGGCCCAGTGACTGGCTAGTTACAAATAAATGTTGCTATGTTTTCATTTATTCGTGTTTCCTGTGGGGGCTTTGCAGGTGGTGAACAGACCCTGCAGGTGAATGTCCGCCAGACAGAGGATTACCCGGTGGACTTGTATTACCTCATGGACCTCTCAGCCTCCATGGATGACGACCTTAACACAATCAAAGAGCTGGGCTCCCTGCTTTCCAAGGAGATGTCTAAATTAACCAGCAACTTTAGACTCGGCTTCGGCTCTTTTGTGGAAAAACCTGTCTCACCTTTTATGAAAACAACACCAGAAGAAATTGCCAACCCTTGCAGGTAAGTAAATAATCCTTTGGCATCTTTGTGCACTGATTTTCTGTAGAGATAGCTGCGCAATGAACTGTGCTTGCCGCGAGCTTGTAAATTCCCTGGCATTTCTCTCCCGTCTGGTTGGACCTCAGCGGCTGTCTCAGTTGCCTGGGTTGTTTGAAGCCAAGGTGATGTCATCTTAACTACATGGTTCTAGCCTTGGGCGCTTGCAGCATCTGCAGCATTTGCCTCCCTGTGTAGGTCAGAACGTGGCAAACTTGGCTTTGTGTTCTGCAGACAAGGGATCGAGTTCTTCACTACAGGGTCCGCTGCAGTGGAGTGTGCAGATGGACTGTGACCATCCCCAGCCCTCAGAGACTCTATCCACAATGACTACCATATTCTGAGGCTATTTGACAGTGACTTATACTTCCTTAGACTATCTTTCTCCACTACAGTGACTTCTGTCAAAATAATAATTTTTGCAGCTTCCTGTAACATATTTTGGGAAATGTGGGTTTTTCTTATTGCTTGGAGAAAGGTCATTGCAGCCTTCACTAGTAAATTAGGCAATAACTCTGTTATAACATGCTATATTGTTGGTGTTAGCTGCCATTGAGTCGGCTCCCGACTTATGGCAACCCATGCACAGTGGGACTGGACTGTTATGATCCATAGAGTTTTCACTGGCTGATCTTTTGGAAGTAGATCACCAAGCCTTTCCTCCTAGTCCTTCTTAGTCTGGAAGCTCTGCTGAAACCTGTTCAGCATCCTAGCAAGGTGCAAGCCTCCACTGACAGATGGGTGGTGGCTATACTTGTCAACTGTAAAACTAAGTATTATCCAGGTGATGATCAAGGGCAAATTGCTTTCTGATGGCTTACCTGCACAGTCAACTGCATATTTAAGAGAGCTACTATTTGCTCTGTGCCAGACTCTGTACTGAAGCTTTTACATACATGACCTCATTCAATCTTCATAACCACAGGTTAAAGCAGGTTTCATTATTCCTATACTCACAGGAAATAACAGAGACTATGGGAGTTAGTAATTTGCCCAAGGCCACATGATGAGTCAATGGAAGATTAACTTGTCCGAAGTTAGATAACTTATCAGTGATCTGTACCAAGATCTGTTTTGGTCTCAAACCAAGCCCTTAGCCACTATGCATCTGATATATATGAAATGATTTCCCGAACATATATTGGCTTTTAATATTTTTGTACACCAAAGACATTAATCTCTATAAGAGACAAATAGCTTTTATAATATCGTTTTAAAAACATTCCAGTGTAGTCCCCAACTACAATCTAACCTAGCCAAAAATAATTTGACCATGAAAGGAATTCATCACTGATTGTAACTGTCAGGAAATATGTTTGGTTGCAAGTATCAGAGACAGCGGCTTAAACAGAGAGAGATTTTTTCTTTTCTCTTTCACACATAGAAGTCCAGAGAAAGGCAATTCAGGACTGGCAGAGTAGTGCCACAGACATCAGGGTTCCAGGATTTTTCTGCTTTCTGCTCCACCATCGATGGACCTTGGATTCTCTTCTCATGGTCCAGTAAGGCTGCTGGGGTGCTAATCATCACTTCTTCATTCTAGGCGGGAAGGAAGACTAAAAGAGGGAAATATCAATAAATCGTACATGCCAGCTGTCTGTCTGTACCTCCTCTCCTTTTGAGGTATGCTTGATATACACTAAAATGCACAGATTTAGAAGTGTTCAGTTCAACAAGTTTTGACAATTGAATATACCCATGCAACTACCACCCAAAACAAGATGCATAACCTTTCCATCATCTCCGAAAGTGCCCTCATGCACTTTTACAGTCAGTTCCACTTCCTCAGAGGCAACCACTTTCTGATTTCCATACTATAGATTAGTTTTGCTTATTCTTGGACTTCATAGAAAGGGAATGATGTAGTGTGTGCTCTTTTATATCTGCCTTCTTTTGCACAACGTAATGTTTTTAAGATTAATCTGTGATGTTGGGTCTTGCTAAGTAACAGTTCCTTTTGTTAAGAAATGGTCCATTGTCTGCGTTTATTACATTTTGTTTATTCATTCTCACATAGATGGAAATTTGAGTTGCTTCCATTTTTGGCTATCCTGAAAAAAGCTACTATGATCATTTGCATGTTAGTCTTTGTGTGCAGATGTCTTTATTTCTCTCAGATATCTAGTAGTGGAATTGCTGAATTATATGAAAAGTATATGTTTAATTTTTTTTAGGAACTACCATACTCTTTTCCAAAGTGGCTGTACCATTTTGTATTTCTGTCATCAATGTATGAGGGTTCCAGCTGCTCCACAGGCTTGCTAACACTTGCTATTGTCAGTGTTTTTAATTTCAGCCACTCTAACAGGTGTGTAGTGGTATCTCATTGTAGTTTTAATTTGCATTTTCCTAATGACCAATGATGCCGAGCATCTTTTCACATGTTTATTTTTCATTCTTACATCTTATTTTGTGAAATAACCTCTCAAATTTTTCAGCTATTTTTCAAATTTGGTTTGTCTTCTTAATACTGTATTGTAAGAATTCTTTATATATTCTGGATACAAGTTCTTTGTCAAATATATGTTTTGCAAATATTTTCTCCCAGTCTGTAGCTTTTGTTTTTATTTTATTAGCAATGTTCTTGGTCAAGCAAAAAAATTAATTTTGATGAAGTCCAATTTATCAATTTTTAATTTCATGGTTATTGCATTTTTTGTTCTAGGAAATCTTTGCCTACCTCAACATCACAAAGATGCTTCTTATGTTTTCTTCTAGCAGCTTTATTTTTAAAGCTTTTACCTTTGCTGTTGTTGTGTGGCATCAAGTCCATTCCGTAGACCTGTCCCATAGAGTTTCCGAGGCTGAGATCTTTATGAGAGCAGATCACCAGGTTTTTTCTCCTGTGGAGTGGCTGGTGGGTTGGAACCACCGACCTTTCAGTTAGCAGCAAAATGCTAAACCATGTTATCAAATTAGTTTTTGTAATTGAATCGAGGAAAAAAGTTCTAGGTTAATCTTTTTGTCCATAAAGATATTCAGTTGTTCCAGTACTGTTTGTTAAGACTTCTCTTTCCCCCATTGAATTGCCTTGATGCCTTTCTTGGTATTGATCATCCATGTGTGAGTCTATTTCTGGACTCCTTATTCTAACCCATTGATCCATTGAATACACTCGTGTAGCTGCCAATGCCTCATTGTCTTTATTGTAGCTTTGTAATTGTAATTTGTCTTGAAATTGGGGAGTGTAAGTCCTTCAACTTCTTGTTTTGATTATTGACTACTGTTCGTGTTGTTTTAACTATTCTACAGCCTTTGTATTTCCACTAAATTTTAGAATCAGCTTGTCAATTTCTTTTAAAAATATGCTGAGATTTTGGGTTGGATTGTGTTGAAACCATAATTCACTGTAGGAAGAATGAACAGCTTAAAAATATTGAGTCTTCCAGTCATTGAACATGGTATACATATCTATTCATTTAGATCTTGTTTGATTGCACTCAGTAATGTTTTGTCATTTTCAGGATCAAGATCCTATACATCTTTTGTCTGATTTCTTCTTAGGTGTCATGGATTGAATTATGTCCCCCAAAAAATGTGTGTGTCAGTTTGGCTGGGCCATGATTCCTGGTACTGTGTGATTTTCCTGTATGTTGTAAATCCTGCCTCCGTGATGTTACTGAGGGAGGATGGGTAGCAGTTGTGTTAGTAAGACAGGACTCAGTCTACAAGATTGGATTGTGTCCTGAGGCAATCTCTTGAGATATAAAAGCCAGAAGTGAGCAGAGAGACGGGGGACCTCATACCATCAAGAAAGCAGTGCCAGGAGCAGAGCACGTCCTTTGGACTGGGGTCCCTGAGCAGAGAAGCTCCTAGTCTGGGGGAACACTGAAGAGAAGAAGGCCGACAGGGAGGAAGAGACTTCCCCTGGAGCTGATGCCCTTAATTTGGACTTTTAGCCAACTTTAAACCATCCACTTGTGGTGTTTCTGTTATAGCAGCACTAGATGACTAAGACAGAATTTGGTACCGAGAGAGTGGGGTGCTGCTCTAACAGATACCTAAAATGTGGAAGCAGTTTTGAAACTGTGAATGGATAGAGCAGTGGCAGCAACAAAGGACCAGCAGCAGCAGAGAACCTGCAATGGCAGAGAAAAGGCAGTGGCAGAGAACCAACAGCAGCAGAACCAAGAGACCAGCGCCAGACAGTGCTGGAGCCGACCCATGGAGCAAGGGAGCTGAGTGCCTGTGTGCATGAGGCTTTCTGGTGGAGTGGGGTGCCTCCGGGCACTTATTAGTGGAGCTACCGAGCTTTGGAACACTTGCCCCAGCAGGGCAGAGGCGGGCGTGAGGCCTGAGGGCCAAGAGGCCACAGGAAACAAAAGCAGAAGCTGAAGAGACAAGAGACACAAGAAGCTGAGCTGCCTCAGTCTCAAAAGATATGGCCATGACCTCAGCGGTTTCTAAGGGTGGACCTATGGCCTCTGGTGATTCTAAGGCTGGAGTTGCCACTCAGACTAGCAGAACGGTGCACCTAAAGCTGAGGGAGCAGAGTTGCTGTCCCTTTGGGCCTGGAAGGCAGAGATGAAGCCCAGGGCCGAGGGGCCTCCACTTAGAATCTGGAGACTGTGTCTAATGCCTAGAGTCTGGAGGGCAGGGCTATTGTGTAAAGTGTCTCAGAGAACAGATTATTTTTAAAGCCTTGAGGGCTAATGTAATGTGTTCTGCTGACTTGCTTGGCGGGTGTTATTCCTTCTTTCCCTCCAGTTTCTCCCATTTGTAATGGAAATGTCTAGCTTGTGCCTGTTCTGTCGTTGTACCTTTGGAAGCAGATAACTTGTATTCTATATTTCACAAATGAGGAATTTTTGGATTTTGGACTTGGAGTTAAGACTTCTGCTGTGTTATGATGGGGTGAATATGTTTTCCACATTGCAAGGATAAGATTTTTTGGGGGCCACAGGGTGGAATGTCATGGATTGAATTATGTCCCCCCAAAAAAATGTGTGTGTCAATTTTGCTGG